GAAGCAACACGAGAGGTCCTACTGGTGTCGAGCTTCTTTTTGAGTTTATTTGTTTGGTACCACATTCTCTGAGGGCCACGGGTGTCGAGTTCGAAGGGCGCAATTCCCCAATTCAAGGTTGAGATTTACACTTCCCAAAAGCTGTTGGGGGCTTCTCCCAACGAGGGCCATCCACTGCCGTGTCAAGCCGGACCATCGGCACCTTTGAAACATGCATCCACGAGAGTGACTCAACGGAGTGCCCCCCACGCTAAACAGCGCGCGTTTTGCCCTTCCAAAATTGTGGGCGTTCCAAGCTTTGCACGAAGCTGATCTTCAAGCCTCGCAGTCGCGCATTCGGAGCCAGGCGCGCATTCGTGTCAATCGCAAAATGCCTTCCCCCCCGTCAGATGGCCTTTGGCGTGAAACCTCCCCAGGAAAAAGATGAAAGCCGCGCCTGCACCAGCTTCCAGACATACTCCAGAGAGAGGGCATCGAAGACCGCAGGGTACCCGTTCAGCTCCCGCTTTAAGGCGGATTTGAAAAAGTTGAACTGCCGGTCCGTAAGCATGCTGAGCCTCACGGAATCACAGACCAGAAGCCAACTGACCAGTGAGAAGCAGGGTTGCCCAAACTGTTCACATCAATCCACCAGGCAAACTTTTCATGTTATAGGGCTAACAGACGCAAAGCAGACCACCAAATAACAAAGCAACACTACCCATGTGCGACGCACCCCTGCAAGAGAGCAGCTTCCCGTGCTTCAGGACAATGTCCAAGTCCCGGGCAATCGTCTCCTTCAGAGGGATCAGAAGCTGAAGAAACTTGTAGGTGGTTAACTCTGTGGCTATGGCGGGGTACTGGCTATGTGGCTGGATGGTTGGATGGGTGGCTGGCTCGCTGGCTGGCTGGCTGGTTGGTTGGTTGGCTGGATGGAGGAAGCCTCGAACGGTGAGACTACAAAACTAACAGTGTAAAATGCAGAACAAGTGGGTCAGTTTGCTGCCTTATGCCACCATGTCGTGGCACGAGTATCTGTATCGGCTCGTGCCAGACGCTCGCCCATGCAGAGGGGGAAATGAGAATGGCCACCCGTAGCTCTCACACACACACACGGTCAAAATGCAGTGATGCTGCCTATGCACATGGCTATTTGAGCAAGGTTTGGGCATCTGCGCCAAAGGCATCCGTAGACACTAGCGCGCCCGGGCAGCCAAACGACGGAACCAGCCACATTGATTCTCAGAGCCCATTCCTTCGGGGCGTCGCGCCCAACTGGAAGCGGCAGAGGCAACGCTCACATTCTAAGCCTCGCGCCCGCGCACGAAACCCAAACACGCTCAAGCCAAGCCAAGGGATTCCGGCATCAGGCTTCAACATGCGGATATTGAAATACTTGACCTCCGGTTAAATGCCTGAACTGGAAAACGCCAAACGCCTAGCCAATCAACCACTGAAACAAAGTCAACACAACCGAGGCCCACACACCTCAAAACCAGTTAAGGCTCTTTTTGTTGCAAAACGCCTGCCCTTTTCCCTTTCCCCCCGAGTCTCCGAGTGGTCCAGGTGGGTGTCGGCAAAGCAGTGGCGCCAAAGAACGTAGGTCAGGCACTGCTGCTCCACCCCGAGCCTTGTGAGGTCTGCCCAGGTGTTCCCGGTGCTGCGCTCCTGCCCAGGAGTTGTGGCACGGCACAAGGCCAAGAGGAAGCGCCTGTCCCATCCTTTTGGCGGGTGGAAGAAAAGGCACGCACAAATGTGGTTTCACATTTTGCGTCTGCAGGGAGAACGCAACAAAAAGTGGCCTTCGTCGTGGTCTTCCTTGGCTTGCCTTTAACTTGCTGGTGCGATAGGTAGGGAATCTGGGAATGAACCCAGGAATTCCCGGAAAGGAAACCAGCAGTGGAACTGATGGCTTTTCTTGCGGCCATTCCATTTCTCATCCCACCCATCCCAAGCCCCCCTGGACCCTGCAATTCCCTGGTGCGGGACGCGCAAAGGAAGTTACCCGATCGGCCACTTCCAACCTGACCCACAAAGATCAAAACCGAATCAAACCCGACTAAGGCCAACCGAAACCAACCAAACCGAACCCGATCTAACCAAAACCAAGCAACCGGCCAACAAACAAACCAATCAACAAATCACCAATCCAAATGGTGCATGTCTAGCTAGACTTGGCAGATTGTTCAGTTTCCCCGTCATTGCGGGTGTGAGTAAGGGTCGAGTCAAGGTAGCTCCACATCTTCTTTCGAGTGGTGTGTAGGGCTAAGAAAACCAAATGAAACTGCAGCCCAAGATGAGAACCAGAAAGAGAACAAGCGTTTTTTTCTCACCTGAGGCCCAAGAAAACACATAAAGCAGAACAACCCTTTTTTTCCCCTTGTTGTTTTTGGCATCCGGAAGTTCCACGGCTCTTCCCCGAAAATTCGCTCCGTCTGCTCCAAGTCGTAGAGCAACGCGTCGATGGGCACCGACTCGTCGCTGCAGCCCTCGCCCATGTGCAGCAGGTCCGGCGCGGCCTGCCACGGAGGGCCTTGAAACCCAAGGTGAGTCATAATCGAAACCCGGTGTCAAAATGGTCTACCCACCATGTAAAGAATTAAGAAGGCGGATATTCGCAGCTATTTCTGGCTAGGACTGCCCCTTACTAACCTTCTACCCAGGTTTTGATCGTGGCTCGGGTGGCAAGTCCTTGGGCTGTTCCCACCAACAATGAATGTACCCTCCAGGACCCTCCCACCAAACATGGAGGTGCACAGACTTTTGTAGAAACACGACTTTCCTCTTGGAAAGGGCCTTGTTGCACTTCCACGTTCGTTGGTGAGAGGGTAAGTACTGGTGACTGATCTCCATGCGAGCCAAGCTGGAGCAACAACTAGATGCACAATGTTGCGCAATGAGGTGCTCGAGCGAACAGAAAACACGAGCAAACAAAAGAGAGCGGAGAAAACGCAGAAAAAATGCAAGAAGACAAGCAGGAAAATGCGGAGAGAATGGGCTAGAGCTCACGAAACATGTTGCATACGAAGAAGCATAATATGGCAAACAAGGAGCGGAACAAACTGCAGAAAACGTATTGTCCGGAAAGGAAGGAAGAGATGTCGGATGCAACGGCGTGGCAGCCGACACCAGGATGCGGAATGTCTTTGGGGGACAAAGGCCCCTACACAAGGGTCATCAGCTCGTACGATTCATTTCAATTTTGATTGCCACCCCGCCCCCTCCAACAACGATGGAGCTTCATGGCATGGCTACTTCCCTACAAATGAATACGGACCCCCAAACGGGATCCCTAAAAACAACACCTCTTACAATGATGTCGGGTTTCATGTTAAAAGGGCAGCTTTCGAAGTGCCTCCCAGCCCCCAAAACCACCCTCCCAGCCCCCCTCCCACCACCCCTCTCGGGCGCCTGAACCCAGGAGTCTCGCCAGACCATGAGTGCCTCTTCCGCCCTTCTCACCACGATCTCCGCGTGCTCCCGGGAGAGCACCACCCACCTGATATCCGGGACGTACTGTGGATGGACAAACTCCTGCACCACTTTGAAACCATGAGAAACCATTGGCTGTTGGTGTTTACAGGGGAATCATCATTCCAGGCTTTCTTAAGGTGGTGCAGGATTCCGTCCATCCACAGTATGGCCGCCCTGGACGTGGAAAAACCGAGCAGAACCGAGCGAGGAGCGGTCTTGGTTGACGTTGGAAGGGAGCAAAAACGTAGATTTTAGCAGTTAAGTGGGGATTTCCCACTAAACCACAATAAGCAAAAATGCAAAATATTTCCCAACAACTGCTGCGGAATCCTTGCCCCAAGCCACAAAAACAGCTCGGAATGCCGCATCCAAACACACGCTGCGTGTCATTGACAGCCGGGTCGCTGGTGGTGCTTCAGCGTGCGAGGGGAGATGCTTCGGATGAAGTCTCGGAAGACGCAGGTCCTGCAAAAGAAAAAGGCTGGCGCAGCCCGTCAGTCGAACGAAGCTTTTTGAGAAAGCGGACAGATTGGCCACCCTCTCCTTCGCAGCTCATTGCGGATGGTCTCGGAAGTGGCGAGTTTGTGGAACGCCACCTCTGCGAAGCCTCCAAGTGAGTGCACAGTCTTTTTTCCTGGTGCTTTGGAGTTCTTCCGCGGTGGGAAACCCCCATTTACCCCCAGAACCTCCCTTCCGCAACCCATCCAAAACACCAACCAAGGGCTTACTGCGCTTTACCCCATGGTCAGCACAAGCCAAGTGGCAGAACTTGCTGGTGCCCGGAGACCCCAAAGCCAGCTGCTTGTGGACATAGTCAAAGCCTCTGCTCGGCTCGCCCGCTCTCGCCCCCGCTTGCGGGTGAGGCTCACAAGGGAACGTCTAAAAAAGGGCTCAGCGTGAGGTGCCCCAAAAGCGGCCTGAAGCTTGCCCCAATCTATCCGGCATCCCGGAAAATCCGCCCTGCAACACCCCATACCTCGCGGCAAATTGATCCCGACCCTTGTGCTGGGGAGGGCAAGGAATCACTGACGGATCTCAGGCTCCATCTTCTGAAGCCCGCGGCCAAGTCTTGGCCAAGGAAACGCTGACTGATCCCCCGATTGTCCTAGCCCTCATTGGAACTTGGCATAGAAAGTTCATGGCACGAAGAACGGGGGAACCTCGCACAGCTTCCCTGACTGCAGCTCAGGCTCTCTTCAAAGGTACCGTGTTGTGCGAGGCGAAAACAAACTGCCTCGGAGAGGGTCGCACCACTGCTTGGCAGTTGCACCGGGCATGGCACAACTCCCCCCCAGCCCCCAAAACAGGAGTCAAACCCCCTGCCGCGCCCCAAAAACAGTGCCCAGACGTCCATGGAAGCCCTGCCGGGCTTCCGTCACCCTTTTGTGGCACCACTCAGGCAACCCCTGCCCAGATACAAACCTCATTCAATCAAATCACAAAAGCAGCTTATAGACAGGGCCAGCGACGCAGCGAGGCCCTGGTGAACTGGCTGATTCAAAACGCAGATCTGCAAATCCCATCGGTCCAAAACCGGACATAAGAACTGGATCCTGAAGTAATAACGTTCATGATGAACTCCTTTTACCCGCAGGTGAGCTCGCCATGCAAAAGAAAAGTGCATGGTACGGGGAAAAAATAAGAAAAAACTGGTGATCATACGTCCCTGGCATTCTCAGACAAGAGGGGCAAGGCGCTGGTTGTGGGGGTCCTGCAGCGCCCGCGCCAGGAGCGCCACCTCTACACCGAAGAGGGCGCACCAGCGGGTCTCCACCTTCCGGATAGTCCAAAGGATTGAAAACAAATCTGGGCGTCGTGGTTGAGTGACGTCTTCAAGGGCTTGGTTGCCGCTTGACCCCGGTCTGGGAATGGTATGAGTGATGGGACGCGCAGGTTGCGGCGTTGTCGCAACCCAAGCACCGAAGCCCATCGCCTGAGGGATCTCGATGGCGCCCCAGCGTCTCAGCGGCAGCGATGCCGACCAAGGCATGCCCCAGCCTCCGGCTGAAAGGAGGGGAGTGGGGGAGGAGCCGCGCGAGCGAGCCCGCGCGCGCAGCGAGCAGCGGGCGGTTGGGTGGGTCTGGCGCTTTTTGTTGTTGTTTGTTTTTTTTGTCCTAAGGGTTGATTCCTTGTCCATTCTTTTCAAGCATCGAAGGCGTTGGTACGCGTTGGCCATACTAATGTGCCTGGCCAAGAGTTGGCAAACTTGCGACATGTGCGATCGCTTGAACAAGACGGGTTCGCTTTGAGTATCGCAAGCGATGTTTAGCACATTGTGCAAATTCTGGCATGGGATGCCAAGCCGTGTCAGCACCTCTCGTCCAAGTAAGGAAGCCACCCAGCAACAGGAAGCTAACAAAGCCAGAAACCGAAACAAACAAACAAACAAACAGACAAACAAACAAACAAACAAACAAAACGCAAACAATCCGGCAATCCAAGCAAACCAATTTGCACGAAGAAGCCGCCTATTCCCGGGCCGCCCGCATGTGCCCCGTTCCCAGCGCCTGAGAAGCGCTCGGCAAAGCGAAGCCCGCTGCTCTGGCGGCCGCTGGCGCGGTGGATGTAGATGCTGTAGGCCCCGGACCTAAAGAGAGAGCAAGGCATAGCCGCAAATGTTCACAACTCATCGCCTGGAGGAGCCAAGAAAGCGGGCCTACGCTTCCTATGAAGCTAGGCACGCGTGGATTCTTGTCAAGCAGTCCGGAAACACTGTCCTTCCCCTCTTGGCCAGGGAGCAAGCTGGCATCTCCGAAGAACCTGTCCCATACATCCTGGCAGTGCGAATCAAGAGCCTTCAAGGTCCTCAAACCCCAACAACCAATTCCGGCAAGCCTTGGGTTGTTCCCTGGGCTGCTGCAATATTGCAACTGCCTCCCACTCTTACCCCAAGGACCGTTCAAGCACGTCAACCAATGGCGAACCTTCACCACGGCAGAAAACCAAAGGAAGGACCCAGCTTCGGCGAGCGTTGGGGGGCCCTAACTGCAAAAAACAGCTCTAGCCTTTCCAACAATCCATGGGATTGAGCCGCTCAAACTCTCCCACTTGGCTGTGGGTCAAAACCAATGGTGCCATTTTGGGGATAGGTGCACCACTCATTTTAGTCCCTGTTTGTGGGGATTGGGATGTCCTTTGGGGGTACGATTTGGATTTTGACCCGTGGCCATGCGGTCGCTCCACGTCGCTCTAAGAAAGGAGGCCCCAACTCCCCGCCTCGAAGTCCAAGCCGTCCACCGTCATGAAAAGGAAGGCCACCTGTGGAGAGCCCGGCCAGGAGGGCAGCACGCTGGGCACGCTGAACTTCCGCACCACCTCGGAGCATCGAGGCACAGGCAAGAGTAGAAACCGCACCAGTGGCGGTTTCAAAGGACCTGGCGGGGGCATAAGAGGCGAAAGTTGGAAACAACATGAACCCAGTTGGCCAAAGGACCCAGAAAGAAAAGGTGCGCCCTTTTGGGGCCATGACCCAAAATGGAATAAAACAAGGGAACCAAAAGGTTGGCTTTGGGCATGTGAATGAAACAACGTCTCATGAAACAAAAGCAACGAAGAAAGAGCCACGGCAAAGGGCTAGGTCACAAGCTCATTGTTGTCTGTCGCATTCACGTGAGTCCAGTGTCAGAACGGCATCTCGCTTAAAGTGTCGACACGAGCCCTCGTGCCAAAACTCAAGCCTCCCTGACCTGCATTGCTGCACAATGTCAAAACCGGAAATACTGAGCCACCAAGTAAATTGAGCTCGAAACGCATAAGCCAGGTAGAGTGCATCCCACTCTGCTTGGACCCTGCCTCTCGGTCAACCTGCAACTTCTCTGCCATGTAGTTGAACCTGTGCCGTGGCCCGAGTTCCAAGAAAGCCTGTCCCATTCCAAAAGGGAATCATGACGCAGGCAAGAGACTTAAACATGTTCAAGGCCAGGTTCTCCTGAGGAACCAAGAGCATCGCTGGGGGAGCCGGGAGAACGCAAAAGATATGCTCGCGTGCAAATCAGGTCCACGCTCATACCGGGGACACCTTTTTCACCCATCCTGATAAAATTGGAAACCCGCACTCACTCACGGCCGGAACTAAAAAGCCAAAAAGCTACGAAGCCAGACGGCTGGGGTTCCCACCAAGCATACCCAACGCTTGCAGCTCTTGGCGCGCGCGCCTCTTCTCGGCCAGCGAGGCCTTGCCTCTGCCCGGGCGCCGGCGCTCCTCCTCCGCGGAGGAGTTGAGGAGCCGGTGCGCCAGCTGGGAGATCCAGGTGCCGTTGCCTACCGAAAAATCCGAGGAATGCGTCTCTCCTTTGGTGCCCACAAGCGAAACCAGGCGATTTGTACCCATTCCTCACAGAAGAAAAGGGTGTCTCTTACTCTTGACTACCAAAAGTCGGCCATTTTCTGAAGCCCACAAACAGCAGCGTGACAGTAGATGGCACACTTCCCTTGCGGGGAAGCAAAAATGGTCACGCCCAGATAGGTTGGAATTGTGCCACCTAGAATTAGGGCTGAGGACAACAGTTTGATTGCCTGAACACGGCAGGATAATCCTTTTGACAAAGCTTGGCTTCGGCAATTGGCCGTATCTTGTTTTGGGGACGACCAAAATTGTAGCAAAAAACGACAAAAAAAGGGTACCCTCAATAAAAGACGCGCCCAAATATGTTCGCAGCCTTGAAAGGGTGCACTTTGCTCAATCCAAGGGGCTGCCAGACTCGCACCTCTCACTATCCAGCCAGGAGCCATTGCGGGAGAGGTTCTCCTTGGCTCGTAATTGGATGGGTGCGTCTAATTTCAAACAAATTTCAAGGGTACCCCGCTTGGTCTGTTTTAAGGGAAACCAAAAGGAAAACCACTAAGCAAGGGACTAACTCCACAGCCCATCATTGCTCACGCATCCGTTTCCATAGCAGGCCTTGTCACCACTAACTCGTCCGGGCGGACCGCGTTAGGGACAAACAAAAAAATGGAAAGAGGGATGACCAAAATGCCCTCAGCAAAGCAGCAAGGGCTGTGGAGAAAAAAACTGCCCACCCCCAAAACAAACAGAACAAGGAGCATTCCCATCCACAAGAAGCCGCCTCAGTGTTCCGGCTTCATGCCATGAATGTGTGCATCCTTTGTTGTTTCCTTGTTCTCCGCTTTGTGCCCGCGATCCATCAAGAAGCACCAAACCCCCTGGGCCAAGCAGTTTCGGCTGCTCACTTCCAGCCAGTAGCTCTTAGCGCCGAGCGTCCACGTGCTGTTCAGTGGAGCGGAGGTCGAAGCTGTCCAGCTCACGCTTTCGGCGCCGGTACTTCCGGAACCTGCCACACTGGCACACCCCGCCCCTCCCTCCCCTACCTGCGCGCGGTTGTAGCAAGTTGGGGTGGCAGCACATGTCGAATGTAAAGACTTCCGGGGCACATGCAAATCAGTCTTGCTGGGCCTGCTTCACGGCACCATTTCTAGTGGCGCTAGAGAACAAATGCCCAGTTCGGCCTTGTTAGCAAACGACACTGTGCACATGCTTGCTCGTTGGAAAACGTTTCAAGTGCAAAGCCTAGATGTAAAGCCGAGTCCCAAAAGAGAGAAGTGGTTGGACATCACGCTGGCTGCGGTTATCAATGAAAACCATGGACCTCTGGAGCCAAGGATAGGCCCCCTTAACAAGGCTGAAATACAGGCTAACCCCCCGGGTCCATGAGTATAGCAAATTACCCAGCGCGGGGTTGATTGCATGAAAACGGAGAAAGATGCGTCATGCCTGTGAGGCTTGTGTGGGTTGACCGCTTGAGAAACAAAGGGTTGCACTTGCAGTGGTCTTTTTCAGTCCCCCGTTGAAGGACCCCTACAAACTCCACAAAAAAGGGTGACCACCACGACGAACACCACAAGAAATCAAGCGGATCATCTAAGCAGCCCCTTTGTTGCTCTCGCATCTGTCCACGTCTGCCTCCGAGCAACGAACTACAAAGAAGCTAGCTACAAGCCATGCTGCCCCGCAAAGGAACATGCAACCCCCAAACGCAAAATTCCCTCAAAGTGACAGACTTGGAGCTGCTGCTCCAAGAGGATCACGGGCTGCGATCTGAGAGCACGTTGGGCTGGAAGAGACCTGGCCAACCGCCAACAAGCAACGCACAATCTCAAAACTGATCAGCGCCAATTGCCAGCAAGTAACGCACAACTTCCACGCGGCCGGATCGAGCAGCACGGTGCATCGGCGTGTGGCCTTCCATCGAGTCCTTGTCTTTGTCAGCACCGGCTTCCACCAAGCACATCGCCACCTGCAAATGTCCCATTTCAGCAGCAGTATGGAGGGGTGAAGATTGTCCGCCAATGTTTGGATCAGAAGGCCTCTCGAGAAGCATCATCAAACTTCCAACGTCGCCGTGTTTGGCTGCATTGCCCAGCTGCTTCTTGACTGCGCCAGCCGCGAATTGTCGCACCACAGCCACGAGCGGCTGCATGTTGCTCCAGGCGCTCCTCCTCCCAAGCCTTCGGCCTTCACGCACCAGGCTCAGCCTCCTGAAATGGCCAAGCTGCATACGTCTCGCCAGCTCCTCCCTCAAGGCATCGAGAAAGCATGCGCCACTGTCCCTGAGCGCACCCGTCTCCTCCCACCACTGGGCAAACTCTGACTCTGTCATCAACTCCCTACCGCTGAGCAAATGAACACAGGCCATTGCGGGCCTGTAGGCAAAAACTTGAGCTAGAAAGCACTCGGCTCAGACGCACCAAGTCGCAGCATAGCAGCTCTATTTGTTTGATGCTCAGGGCATGCCCAACCCCCTTCCCAAAAAAACAGAAGGCAAGAACCCTGGCGGTGGTCAGCAGAGGGTGAGAGAATGAACCTGGGCGTCCGCTTAAAGGAAATCGCTAGTTGGATGGTTTGTAGGGGTCACTCCATTTCTCTTCCCTCAGTTGTCCAGTGACCCTGGAGAGACAAAAAGAAGGGAAAAAAAGAACCCTTTTTGGGGAAGACCATTTTTAGTGCGGCCGCCACCCCCCCCCAAAAAAAAAAATAATGCCACTGAACAACTGAGTTCCCTACAAATCGCCGCCAGAAAATGCCCTTGGCTTCTGCCTGCCGTTCTCCTCCTCCTCTAGGCCGGCCAGCGCTGCCCGGACCTGCTCCTCCCGGTCCTGTTGGATTGGAGTGGTGGGTTTGGGGGGGCGAAACAGGGTTCCAAGCCCCAAACCAAATAGCCATCAGGCTTGATTCAGCGACCTGAGAGTGGGTTGAATCCCCGGTCCTGTCTTGATTGGCGACCTGGGAGATTCAAAAGTTGCCAATCTTGCCAGAGCGCCGTGTTTCCTTCACATCATGCCTTTCCACAAGTTTAATGGAAATTTGGGCGGTCTGGAGTCCTGTGTCTTGTTCTATGTGTATCTTTGGGGTTTCCTGCCCTCCCCTGCGGATTACCCCCCGGTGGCTCTCTCGGGCCTCGTCCACCGCCTCGCAGCTGCATCGCCAGAAAGCGAGCGCCAAGATCCGCCACATGCCTTGGGCGTGGGCCCGGGAGCCTTCATGGCACAAGTTCCAGGTTCCGGCCACACAGGTAGTTTCCAAAAAAAGGGGCGTGGCCGTTTCGGATGGAAAAAATGGTTTTGATGGGCAAACCCGATGGATGGCCAGGTCCAAACATATATTGCAGCGTTTGTTGATCTGTTTTGTTCTGAGCTGTTGACAAAAGCATGGTCGAGGAGAGGCAAAACGCGTTCCAAGGATCCCTTGATTGCGGCACTCATGCGCTCTCGGAAGGCTTTGGCAGCCCTTGCGCTACTCAGCCAAGTTGCGGGGATCCCGGACAAGGAGCAAGAATATGTCTTCCCTTCCAACCCTTGCTTGTCATTTCGTCTGGCCATTTCTGCTCTGACCGGCGGGGTGAGACTACTGCCGACGGAGGGGCGCCCAGATCCATAATCTTCACCTTCATAACCCTCAAAATCCGCAAAAATCCGCAAAAATCCGCTAACCCGTGAAGACCAATGTCTCTCATGTACCGGACCGTCTGTCAGGTTCCCATCTTAGAAATTCCCACCGCCCTGTGCCCTGGGTGCACCCTCCAGGTTTCGCAACGAATCGCGCCCGACACCTGTCACGGCCCGTCACGGCCCGTCACAGGAAGTCCACTCGTCTTCTCCTCTCTTCCCACGCGGGCGCCACCAGGGGCATCGTGTTCTGCCACGCCTCCGCCCTCATGATCTCCTTCGGCAACCCTACTAGCTGTGGGGTGCTCATGTCCCGCTCCATTTGACTCAAACCCGATTTCCGGACAAGATCGAACCCTCGGATCTGAAACAGCTGCCCCCGTTCTGGGAGTAGGGCAAAGGGGATGAAATTTCGCAATTGTTGCCCCGCTCCAAATGCGGTGAAGGGTCCGCTGAGTCAACTACATCAGGACTTGGCTTCAAATCTCCGGGGTCCCTTCTACTAAGGGACACTTGAAGGAAGGAAATATACTTCCCAAAGACCCCCCCCCCCGTATTTCCAAGGCAAAAAAGGCTCCCCCGCCCTCAACCCGCCCCGCGCCTTGAGGGCGTTGGTGGACTGGTCCAGCGCCTCAGCGCTGCGGCTGGCCGCCTGCTGCGCCCACGCCTTGGCGGAGCGCGTGTGCACCTCGGCCGCCGCCGGCCGGGGGCCGCCGTGGGTTGAACGGCAATCTTGGACATATTTTTGATCAGCCCCCCCGAAAAGGGAAACTTAAATGTATATCATAAACACAAAACGGGTTCAAGGGCGCGCCCTGGGTGGGTGGGAACTTCCATTTTCATACCAACACCTATCTTGTGGGCAGAGAAAACAGGGACAAGGACCTCCCTCCGCGCCTCGCGGTGCCCGTGTTGTTTCTTCTCGCCAAGCCAAGATGCGACTTACCCTCGAGAGAATTGGATGGGATGGGATTTGATGAAATGGGGTGGGATCGGATGGGATTGGATGGACTTGGCTGGGATGGGATTGGATGAAATGGGGTGGGATTGGATGGGATGGGATTGGATGGGATGCGATGGGAATTGGATTGCTTGGATGGGATTGGATGGGATTACATGGAATTGCATGGGATGGGATTGGATGGGATTGGATGGAATGGGGTGGGATCGGATGGGATTGGATTAAATGGAATGGGACTGGATGGAATTGGATTGCATGGGATTGATGCGATGGGATGGGATTGGATGGAATTGGATGGGATGGAACGGGATTGCATGGGATGGGATTGGATGGAATTGGATGGGATGGATGTATTGGATGGTATTAGATGGGATTGGATGGAATTGGATGGGAGGGGATTGGATGGGATTGCTGGGATGGGATTGGATAGGATGGGATGGGATTGGATGGGATTGGATGGAATTGGATGGGCTGGGATGGGACTGCATGGGAGTGGATGGGATGGGATGGGATGGGATTGCATGGGATTTGATGGGATGGGACGGGATGGGATTGCATGGGAGGGAGTGCATGGGATTGGATGGGATGGGACGGGATGGGATTGGATGGGATGAGATTGGATGGGATGCGATTGGATGGAATTGGAGAGGAGGGGATTGGATGGGATTGGATTGGATGGGATTGCTGGGATGGGATTGCATGGGATTGGATGGGATTGCTGGGATGGGATTGCATGGGATTGCATGGGCTGGGTTGGGATTGCATGGGATTGGATGGGATGGGATAGGATTGCATAGGCTTGGATGGAATTGGATTGAATTGGATGGGATGGGATCAAAAGAGGGTGGCACCCACGCCAAAGATCCTTGGCCAGTCTTGCCGAAGGCGCCATGCCCGCGATGTGCGCGGAGAAGTGGGCCGCATCCCTGGCATCCCTGACCTTGGCAGTTGGCCGGTCCATGCCTCTTCCACACATGGGGTTGTCTGTTCTGGAAGGGCCCTCGTTTGGTTGGTTCTAGAAGGGAAACCCAAAAAAAAAAAAAGAGGACAGCATATGCCTCTCTCTGTATTTTTCCTCTCTCTCACTCTTGAGGCTGACCTTCCAGGAGTTTGACACAGGGAGGCAACGAATGACATCTGAACTACCAATCCGCCTGTTGCTAATTACCTTGCACCACCTGGAATGAAGTCCAGAACTGTAACTTTACGGGAGTGCTGCTTTGGCCCAAGCTGTCGGCCAAGTGGCCACGTCCTCTAAGCACGCTCTGGGTGAGGCAAAGAACCAGCCGCAGCCAAACCAGCTCGAATGTGGGTGGACGCCCTCCTGGTGAGCGTGCCCGTGCATGGCAGGTGGACAGGCGGGCAGTTTGGATTTGCTGTCTGCTTGGCCTCGCTCGACCGCCATGCCATGGTGGAGCTGTGGGGATTGTGCTGGGAATGAGCTGGTGCTGGTGCTGAGTTTGTGTTGATGCCTTCTGTGGCTCAGAGCCGAAACACCTCGGAAAACAGATCCAATGGAGCACGCCCGCCACTTACAAGGCACTGTCTCTGTTGCGCGCCTTGCAGCCTACAGTACAATATCTCTTTCAACAGGAAGTTCTCAAAAAGCCCAGAAGGCTTGCCCCATGGCTGAACGGCACCTTCTCGTCTCACAGCTGCGCCAGAAACCAGCCCCGAAGGCTTGCAGCGCCAAGCTACACAGCCAAACGGAATAAGTCGCCCGCACCCCAGCCATTTGTCTGCCAGGTTGCGCCAGGCTCTAAGTGCCATCTGCCATGGCTTAACACAGATAACTGGATTGGGCACCCTCTGGGTGTGAAGCTTACCTAATATACAGCTGGCCTTTCGCTTCTCTCCTGCTCTCTTTCATGCCAACCCCTATCATTTCGCGATGCCTTCCGCCCCAGAGCGAAGTGCTGGGAAGAAATGAGAGAAATGAGAAGGTTGGCTCACCAAACAATGGAAATCCTTGCTTCCCCATTTAGGCTGCATCAAAGTAAGGTGCACAACACCCAAAGTCCTGCGCGGGCCCGTTCATCGCAGCATTGGCATTGGCAACCACAACATGGAAGAAAAGCGCAACTCTCCCAGGCCTGGACAGCCTTAAGGGGGGCTTGAGCCCAGCAGAGGCCACACAACGCCCCTCACACACAGCCAGGACGCTACGCACTCCTGCCGGTGAGAATGCTTGTGTCTAACTCAGCAAAAAACACGATGAACATCGTTTGGCAGTACTCAACATTGCACTTCGCAGCCTGCACCACCTCAAGTTTGCGCCGCCGGATTTTTCTGCAATTTGACTTTATCCCCCCCGCGCCTGGAAACAAACCATGGTGGCTCGCCAAACACACTTCAGAAAGCCCAGCAACAGCCTGAAAAGATCATGTTGGACATGGGCGGCCAAAAGTTGCGGGGCTGGACTTCAAACCCAAAGGCGGGCGCACGTGTTGAGGTCTCACTAACCTGCTTGTTCCAAGATCAGGGACAAGCGAAGGTGCTTGGGAATTGTACACGTTAAGAGTTGCAGGGCTTCCCCGCGATTTGGAGCTTGGGTCAGAGAGTGGCGCAGAAAACACACGCCCATAGAGCGGGTGGCGATGCTATGGCCCGGGCGCAAGTCCTTCACCACTCCGTGGAACTGAGGACGCCTCCGCTCCAAAGCGAAGGCCATGCAAAGAAGGAATTGCTTTGGTAGGAATACATATGGATATACACACACATATGCAGATAATATATATATATATGTACATACGTATACATACGTATATATAAATTATATATATATATATATATATGCGCGTATATTTTTTTACGGGGGCCAAAAGGTTTGAGTACGGGGTATGATTCGCAGGTATGATTCGCGGGTATGATTCGGGGTATGATTCGGGGGTATGATTCGCGGAGGCAGCAGCAGCAGTAGAGGTAGCAGCAGTAGACGTCGAAGTAGTAGTACTAGTAGTAATATTGTAGTAGTAACATCGAAGTAGTAGTACTAGTAGTAATATTTTAGTAGTAACAATAGTACTAGTAGTAGTAGTAGTAGAAGTAGTAGTAGTAGTAGTAGTAGTAGTTAGTACTAGTAGCAGTAGTAGTAGTAGTAGTAGGAGTAGTAGTAGCAGTAGCAGTAGCAGTAGCAATAGTAGTAGTAGTAGTAGTAGTAGTAGTAATAGTAGTAGTAGTGGTAGTATTACTGTAGTAGTAGTAATTGGAGTAGTAGTAGTAGTAGTAGTAGTAGTAGTAGTACTAGTAGCAGTAGTAGTAGTAAATAGTAGTAGCAATAATCGTAGTAGTACTACAAGTAGTAGTAACAGTACAAGCAGCGACTCTATTGGCGCGGAAGCTTTGAAAAGACTTGGCGCTGGCCTTGGCAAGGCAAGTTCATTGCGCGGGTATGATTCGCGGGTATGATTCGGCTAGGTGCAAAACGGCACTGATTATAAACTCAGAATGATGAATGTAGTAGTAGCTGTGGTAGTAGTAGTAGTAGTAGCAGCAGTAGTGGTAGTAGTAGTAGTAGCAGAAGTTGCAGAAGTAGTGGTAGCAGCTGCAGCATAAGCAGCAGCGGCTGTAATGGTGCGGACGCTCTGAAAAAGACTTGGCACTAGCCTTGGCATCGGGTAGCTTCTGCTACCCTTACTACTAACTACTATTACTACTACTACTACTACTACTACTACTACTACTACTACTACTACGACTACTACCTTTATTACTACTACTACTACTACTACTACTACTACTACTACTACTACTACTACTACTACTACTACTACTACTACTACTACTACTACTAGGACTACAACCTTCACTACTACTTGTACTACTACTATTCCTGCGGCTGCTACTACTACTCACTACTACTACATACATCATTCTGAGTCTGTAATCAGCGCCGTTTTGCACCTAGCCGGATCATACCCGCGAATCATAGAAGCTTGAGTAGTAGTAGCAGCGGTAGTAGCGGTGGTAGTGGTAGTAATACTCGTGGTCGCGGTAGTAGCAGTAGTAGTAGTAGTAGTAGTAGTAGTAGTAGTAGTAGTAGTAGTAGTAGTAGTAGTGGTAGTAGCAGTAGTAGTAGTAATTGGAGGAGTAGTAGTAGTAGTAGTAGTAGTAGTAGTGGTAGTGGTAGTGGTAGTATTGGGTAGCGCTGGTGGTGGTTGTTGTGGAGGCAGTGAACAACACAAAACGGTAGAAGAAAAGTAGCATCTTGCAGCATACGTTTTAAGGGGTATGATTCGGGGGTATGATTCGGGGTATGATTCGGGGGAATGATTCGGGGGTATGATTCGGGGAGGTCCCACCTTCTGCTTTTGAAGCAACTCAACACACCAAAAAAGGACAAACCCATATATATATATACATATATATATATATGTGTGTGTGTGTACGTGCATCTATTTATATACTTTCAACGTACCTCTAGGCCCAAAGTGTTGCACCTGGATCTTAATGGAGCCCAAGAGCCGCCCATCCCACGCTGCAAGGACGCACAAACATACCCATGATCGCCATGCCTGTCCGAGCACAAGCAAACATGCCGTATCTTTAATTTAAAAAAAGGACTGGCACAAGCCTTGGGATTCTCTCCCCCTCTTTCTTTCGATTTCGGAGTTCTGCCCCCCCGGGCCGCGGCGCTAGCGCGAATGAGGATTCCTCCTTCTGTTTTATTGGCTTTCTCTGATTGTTCCTGAGCAGCCTGGCTTGGTTTCGCCCCGGCATCCTGTTTTCTAAGTGAGCCCTTTTTGAATTTGCACTCCCTGTACTGCTACCGCTGGTGCTTTCCTTGGATCGATGACATTTGGTGAGGCTGTTTTCGGACTCCGCAAGCGCGAAAGCGTGCGGAGGCGCCTCTGGGGATCTGGGTCTACACAGCCTTTGTAGAGCTGCAGCACCGCTGCCGGGAGGTCACCCGGTAGCTGCGGGCAGGCGCCTCATCCCGCTGAAACGAAAAGATTTTGGCGGAATGGGGCCTGAAATTGGTCAAGAGTCGTCCAAGTGGCTAGGAGACCCTTGCGGTGCACGGGTGAATGATGAGAACCACACCAGAATTAGCGCATTCGATTGAATTTCATCCCAAAAATAGTGAAATCGAATCTAAAGATGCCCCAAACATGCCCAGTCGCGTGCAAAAGAGCAAAATTCTGCAGATGTGTGTCCTGTGACCCCATCGCGCTTGGCTTGCATTCTGCTTTCTTGGTCCATTCCGCATGGTAGAGCTGAAACCCTTTCATGGTGTCCATGCAAAGGTCCAGGCAACATTGTCAGGCGCCGGCTCCATGTGACTACCCCCTGTCAGGTAGGCCAACCCCCCAAAGAAATCCGGGCGAAAAAGCCTTCAAAGACAGCACTCCGGTTCATCTACCACTCTACCCCGCCTTGGGAAAGCAGGATCACCAGCTGCGCGGCCTGCAGTCCTTTGAATGGCCTCTGGCCAAGGATCGCCTCGAATGCGGCTCGGTCGTGACTCTCCAGTTTGCAGGTGTTCCGAAGAGTGGTTTACCATTTCTCCACAAGAAGGCGTACATCCAGATCCAAACCACCAATGAACCGCCAATTCGGGGTCACCTGAGAAGAGGCCTCTCTGAAGCACCGGACCTTCAGAACTGCTTGTCCAGACACTGCCAGAAGCCCGAACAGGAGCCTTCACGTGTCAAACCAAAACGTCCCAATGTGGCCCCTTGCACGTGATCAGTCAACAAGCAAACGCTGGGAGCCCTTGGGTACCTAACAGTGCCATCCAAAACGAAGACAGCCGAGACCTGAAGGTCCAGTTTGTCGTCGACGCCAACTAGCTGACAATCCAAGTCATCATGACTCTCTGCTTGCCCCGCCATCCCACCACATGTGCCTGCCACATAAGCATGGCAAAGGAGTACACGTCGCGCCTCAAGATTTGGGACACCCCCCCTCTCAAATATCCCCCTGCAAGCATCTGAATTGTCCTGCCCCCCGGCCTGACTGACCCCACTTGGCCTTTGTTTCTCAGACAGGGTCCCTGCAACTTCTTGGTCCGCACCCGGGTGCTTTGCCAGAAACTAGGAAACATGCAACCTGATCTCAAAGTTGAAAAGGTACATCGCGGAGGGCCGCCCGCTTGCATTTCAGCAGAGGCGAGAGAAAGAGTTGGAGGGGACCACCTACGCCATACTTGCTGGCCAAATGGCATGAAAATGCCTGCGGCACGAGATCATTTGGGCCAGATCTACAGCGGCTGCGGGCCCCCTTCCGCGGCCTGCCAACACTGTGTCCTCTTTCTGCCACTTTGGTTTGCATTTCTTCCTCCCACTCTGGTTCTATAGCCCAGCCCCATCTCTTCCGAACCGACATCTAGGTGTTGATCTATTGAGTTCTGAGCGGCTTCAGGAGATGGACGCCATCCGTCTGCTCCAGGCACTCGGGTGCCAGGTAGGTCACCGTGCTCGACGAGCTGGACGCCTCACAAGCAAGCCGAAGCCAAGAGTTGGGCCGCGGTTTCCTTCGGAAACTCAACGGGCGTTCTTCGGAAACCCTAAAAACCCCAGCAACCCCAAAAGAAGCACAACATCACCACCCCATCTCTCCACCGAAGGTACGTGTGCAGCAAGCTAGCGTCTGCATTTTGGCCGCTGAACCGGGTATGTTTGTTGCTGAGCCAAATCGGCCTTTTTTTTTATTGAATCTTAGTTGTTGTGTGTGGCCTTTTTAGTCCATCGGGCTATGTTTGTTCCTCCATCAGTTGCTGAATCGCTTCCGAGTCGAAGCTTTTAGTTGCTGAATCCTGAATCGGATTGCTTGGTTCCTGAATCGCAGTTGAAGCGGGCCATCTCAAAGCTCACGAATCGGTCGCCGAATCTTAGGCCAAGCTTGGGGGCCAGGGATGCCGGCAGCTCAGTCGGCTGGAGTTCTCCTTCCCATTCTCCCGCATAGGTCTCTGCGCTCGCAGGGATGGAAGACAAAGCCACGTGAACGGTCTCCACACCCAAATCACAGCGAACCCAGCAGAAGGCCCCTTAGTCTTCCACAAACCGGTCGATTTTTTCCTTTTCTTGGAGTCTCCTTTGAAAGACTCCTTTTTTGTATGGCGCTGCAAGGAAACCAAAAGACAATGACCGCCCCAGTTTTGAGCAACAAGCATGCTCCCCCCCCAAACCCCCCGGGCCTGCACCGGGTTCTGCGCTGCAGACCCGAAGTCGCAGACCTGCGAAAGGACTCCATGCAGCGCTCTTTGCCAACGACTGCCTGATGGGGTACCTTCTGTTGGGACCCTAAGGCGCAGCGGTTTGCTTTTGGTTTCCCCTTATCACCATCCCAGGGGCTACCTTCAACAAAAAAAAAAGGGGAAAAAAAACACCCATGCCAAGAAAACAATGAAAAAGCCCAGGCCTTGCACACAAAGCCCTTCCAAGACGCGTCACTGCAAAGAAGGACGTTGCCATCTGCCAAGTCTCCGTGCAAGACATCGCGGCTATGCCTGAAGACACGCAGCTTGGTTCACGGACAGGCTCGCTCAACCGACATGTCGAGGCTTGATGCAGATCTGAATGCAAGGCGGTGCAAAGACTACTACGACTGCTTCGGCTGCAACTACTCCTACCTCCGACCACAACCAACGTAACCAGCACCAGCTTGCAACAACGAATCCCGTCCTGATCTATGAACCTTTTGCGGTGCAATTTGCCTAATTACCCCCGTCTTGAAGCGGGTCTGTCGTTCTTGGAGGGTGCTCCTTGCGTCTTGGGTTTTTCAAGGGACACCAAAAGGAAAACCCTCCCATTTTGAGGGGGGTCACCCCAAAACAAGAGCCACCCAAATGTTGGGTACCGTACTGGCTTCCTGCCACAAGTGGCTTCGTTCCCGCCAGGCCGCAGGTAAGCCCCGGCGTTCGCGAGGTCCAGGCACATGTCCAGCGCCTGCCGTTCCGAACGCTCGAAAAGCGCCAAGTAGCATCAAGCCAAGTAGCATCAAGTGGCTTTTTACCAGGTCGCCCACTACAACAATGGCCTTTTACGATGCCCAAAAGAATTGCACCAGGAATGCAATGACATTTCCATACCGAGCCCATGGAAAAAAATGCCTACGTGGCAGCGGACCCCTCACCCTCACCCCCCCTTGGCCTCCCAGCCGCCCCAGCCACAGCCGTGCCAGCCTCCAGCAGTCCGGCAGAGACCAGGCGCGGCACGCAGCAGTGGGAGCCCCAGGTGCCCAAGTCGCACCACTCCTCAGGCGAGCTGGGTGCCTCGTCTTTACATCTCTACTCTTGGTCGCGAAAAACTGTGTGCTTTTTTTGCAGACCCGGTAAAAATGAACAGAACCAAAAGAGCTTCAAAAAAAAATGCCGAGAACCGTGAAGCAAGCCTCGGGCTTTGGACCCAAAGAAATGAGCTTTCCTTTTGGTCCCCCCCAACAAAAGGGGCCACGAAAGCGGGAGGCGAGGCAAACCAGTGGCCTACATGCGAGCTCACACACCGCTCTCCCCCCTTAGAGGGCAAAAGAGACAGAGAGACAGAGAGAGAGAGAGAGAGAGAGAAAGAGAGAGAGAGAGAGGGGCGGATGATTTGTTTTTCACAAGTGCCCAAAAACCGCCTGCATGACGCATGACACACCTGAGAATTCGCGCCAAGAGGCATTGACAACCCGTCAAGTCAAGGCCTAGAGGCCTTCCAGGCTACCCAAGGCAAAGAGATCACAGGTGGAATTCCCTTTCAAACGCCCGCATCCAAACCAGTTGCTGGACAAACCAAGTTGCTGGATCCTAGAGGCTCCTTCATCTTGTGCCCCCCATCTCAGGGAATCCCGAGGTTTGAATTGGTGATTTGATTTGGACTTGCATTTGCCTGCTTCTTTGTCGAGGGCAGATGCGAAACCTGAGAATTTCCTCAACTGGGTACCCAAAATCGCACCTTGGAAACAAGAGGCAAGACCAAAAGCCTGCGTAACCCCGGCTGTTAATTTGTTTGAGCCACACCCAGATCCGCAAGTCCCCCCCCCCTCCCCCCCTCCCCGCCCCAAAAATCCCCAAGCCCCGAGCCTGCACCAACCAAAGCTCGGGCCCTGTGAGGGGCTGATCCGCCTGTCCGGGGAAGCCACCCGGAAGGTGACATGCGGCTGTGTTTTGAGGGCACCCCTTTTCCGGTGGCTTCAGAAGCGAAACCAAAAGGAAGACTACATTTTTTGATTTTGGAAGAGCAGTACCTCGAGCAAAAGGAAGGAAACCAATTTTTGAGGGGGCCTCTAGACAAAAAAAACTGACCAAGGGCTTGCTTTGCTCAAGGTACTGCTCTTCTTCCTCCTCTTTACCCAACCTTGAGCCATCAATTGCTGAAGTGACACGTGAGAAGCTTCACAGGCCACCCCAACCTGAGCCCCAGCCCTTTCTTCCGGATCGGCAACAATCCGGGCAAGAAGGGCAGCTTCTTTGCACCTAGAAGCTTCTGCAGCAAACGTGGCATACCTCCACCCCCACACACCCCACCGCCTCCTTGAAGAAGAGCGTCTTGACAATGTTGGGGTGCGTCAGGGACCTTCGCCGAACAAAAAACCAAGCCGAACGCACGCTCGAGACCAGTCTTGTGCGAATATTCAGATGGAACATGGAAGCCCAAAGCCCGAGCCCCCTTGACCTCTGAAGCCTGCCGGGCCGCATGGAAAGCTCTGCCTCTTGCAAGCTGGCTCGGCCCGCATGGCGCATGGCCTGCCAGAGTGCGTCGCTTGAGGAATTCTTAGAAGTCAAAGTTGGAGAATACCCCAGCATCCAGAAGCTAGAACAAGTGTAACATCTGTCAACTCACCAATGGAAGTGAGTGTCCGAGGCGCTTGCCACTTCCCCAGGCCTTCACGGCCACTGGCGTGTTCCGATAACTCCCACGGAAAATCTGGCCGAAGGAGCCTTGGCAAGGGGCAAGCTGCAAGGCAAACAAATCTTCTGGACTTGTCGCCGACCAAAAGCAGAAGGTAGCGCAAGCCTGTTGCAAGCTGGACGGCGAAGAAAGGACAACGCTGAGAAGTGCACCCCAATTGAACCCCGACACAATAGCAGTGTTGAGCAATCTTGAGCAGGACCAAAGTGCCTGGTTTGCATTGCGAGCTGCTGACAATGGCCAGCAAGAAAACAAGACAGCTCTTGGGCCGCAAATGGACTGGTGCAACTCACTCGACTTTCCGACAGCTAGCGTGGCAACAAGCCATAAGGCACAAAGGGCACTAGACAAGTCCTTCCACGCGCATGTACTTCAGGCAAGGCTGAAAGAGAATGGTGTCTGGTCCAAACTCCGAGCCCTGGCTGCCTGCAACTCGGCGACTCGGCGGGCTGAAGCAGTTGAGCTCAAAAGAGCACTGAGCGGGACTCAGACACAACTTACTTACCACCATCGAGGCCGATGGGGAGGCCAAGCGCAGAAATGGCGGATCCGCCCAAATGAACTGGTCTCGGGCCAAATCCCGGGTTGCACAAGCTGAGCAAAGCCGATCCTCTAGTAGCGATTGGTCGCTGGCAGTGTCCCAAAAGACGGCAAATCCTTTGCAAGAAGTGTTCATTCAGCTTGCAAGATGAACAGGAGTTGTTTGTAGAAGTTCAGACGCATCAAAGCTAAATGTCATCACCCCCCTCAATGCCAAGACGCCTTTCTTCTCGAAGCTCTCTATTTTCAGCTTGCTTTGGTCAGCTTTCTGGCCTAGCGCAACCGTGGCACAGCTTCAGACAGGTGGCAAATCCCCGGTCGAACCAGCCGCAAATCAAATCCACGTTGGCCAAGCCAAGCCCGTGAGAAATGCTCGCATCCAACTGCCCCACACCGATATCGGATGAGGTTGGGACGGGTCAGGCGCCAAGCGATGCCTAAAGGGAGAAACATGAAAAGCCCACTCCCCCGCATCGCGTCCCCGCAAGATGCCTCCATGCTTGCCCTTGCCTATGCACCACTTCCCCGGCACAACTTCAAGTGGGAGGCCAAGGGCAAACCTTGGCAGACAGCCATGCAGCTGAACGTGCAGCAAAGGTTTATGCGGGCTGGGGGTTGGATCCACTCCATGTAAATCGGGGCCCATAGCACGCAGAGTGTGAAGCCGCCAGAATGTGCGGGTTTCTTCTTTGAGGGCATGCCTTTTTGAGTGCTTTGAAAGGAAAACCACCGCAAAACAAATGCCCTAGGACAAGAGAGGCCCAAGCGTTCTGGCGAATGCAGACCTGAAGTTCTCACTTCCCGACATTGAGGTCCACCAGGCAAAGTGTAAGCAAGCTTGTGTCCAAGCATTGTGTAGATGCCGGGGGCTGCCCCCGCCTGTCAGGTTGAAAAACCGGTCTGGAGTTGACATCCCATCCAGAGAAGCTTCCCTGAAGTGGGCATGCCAGGCTAGCAGGGAAAATGGGAAGGAGGGGGGAAGCCGCCCTTGGGTGGGCGACGAAATCAGAGGGTAAGATCAGAATTCTCCCGTTCAGGACACGGGGGAGAAAGAGAAACACTTTGGGGAGCACTTTGCTCTCTTCTCCCACTGGGGCTGTCACAGTCTAGGGCCCTTGCCTTTTCCCTTCGCGCCCGTCACGGATTTCATAGACCTTGCGTTGTCAGGGAGTCTGCCAGTGGACCATCTCATGCATCTTCCTCCATGCGTGTCGCTCAGCATAGGGGGACGACGGCCCGCTATGTCCTCCCCGCAGCGTACCATTCGTCAAGCTGATCTTCAAGTTCGCGAACTGGGGGAGTGCCGCTGTGCACATCAGAAGGGCGGTCCCAAAGACCATGCCAGTTGTTGCCGTGGGGATCGGATCTCCTTTTCATCTTCCCTGTCCCAGCCATCCACTGCGACCTTCTTCGTAGTGGTGGTGGGCCTTTCCCCATCCCCCTCGGCGATGTGCCTCCACTGCCGTTTTAGAAAGGCACTGCCCTATTGTTCCAGACAAGGCGTCGCATAGGCGTCCTCCATGTCTGGTCACTGCACTCCCCCACCACGGCCATCTTGAGCCAGGCCCTGGCCGTGATTCTGGTGCCACTTCGGGACAGTGCTGCCTGGACCACCCAGAAAATCTGTTTTGCCACAAGGTTTGTGGAGCTTCCCAATGTCCCTCCACGCTGTTTGGGATTGCGTCGGAGCCTCGGAGGTGGTCCATTCTCAGCCATAGATCACAGGAGTGGGTGGCGGGCTTTAAGATTTGGACTGGCTGGTCCGAGCTTGAGCCAAAATGGCAACCTTGAACTCAAAGAAGAGGGCACACATCTCCTTCATAAGGATGCTGCTGCCAAGGAGGCGGGCCGAGATGCGGTGGTAGCCAGCCTTGTCCTTGTCCGCTACCAGGGCGACCATCTTGGCCAGGCCAGAAAGGTCCAGGCCTCCCCCTTGACGAAGCCGATCCCGGTATTGGGGGCCGCAAATCCTCCACCTCCGTCATGGGCACGTCCGCCTGCGTCTCCACCAAGTAACCTCTGCCGGCTCCCCACCATCAAGCCTTCAGGCGTGCCAGGCAGGCCTCCAGCTCGGACATTGCATTGGGGAGGGAGCCGCGCACGGGACCCCTCTTGATCTCCTTCTCGGAGAGGCGCTGATCCTCCACAAGCTCAAATGAGGTTGCTGAGGTAGAGGATGCCATTGCGAAATGGAAGGGGGCGGGGGCCAAAATGAGACCACCAAAAACAAACCGTTTGTGTGCGGTCCGCACCGCGCGGTATTGAATTTGCAGCAGCAGGCGTCATGAAGGGGGGGGCTCGTTGAGCGGGGCTTTGGGGGGCAATCACGAGCTTGTGCTATGAAAAGGCGGCAGGGACAGATCCAACACGCCCGCCCGACTCTCGTCGCACCCAACCCTCACCTTCCCGGACTGACAACAACCACTGGCAAGCCACCAAATTCCGGGCCGTAAAAAGTTGACACGTGCACTTACCTAGCATTGGCCAAATGTCCCCAGGACGGAACCTGTTTTTCAAATCCCTGGAACCTTCGGTCTTTGCCCAGCAGCAAGCCGGAAATGGCACGGGTCACGGGCACGGCGACGTGGACCACGAACACATCCGCGCCAGGGATGCACGAGTGGCAAGGGCTCATGGCGCGGCCAATGCCCCGGACCTGCGCCGCCAAAAAAGGGAGACAGGCTTGACGTGGCATTGGGCTGAAGACCACGTCCGTGTCACAGCGGTTGCAGGCTGGAGCTATGACAAACCTGTTCCTTGATACAACCTCCACGTGGCAAGCGGCGGCGACGAGTGACTCGATCGAAAGCAAGAGTTTAGTCAGCCCACCCAGTGGACAGCGATGGTCCAAAATGGATACCATGGACAAATCAATACCTGCGTTGGCAGGCCCGTCGTGGCCTAAACTCTGTGGGCATCAGCATCTCTTGCAGCCTCTGCAGGGCCCAAACCAAAATCGAAGGTGTCATGTGCTGCGTGCGTGCGGCGTGGAATCGCAAATGGAATGTTTCCGACAGGTTCAACGCATGCGGATTCGGTCTGGTTTGCATCTGCCTGCACTGCAATTTCTAAACTTGTCCTTGCCCGGTGATCCAGATTGAAAGAAGCAAGCAACCAAACGTGACACAGCTGGACTCGGGCAACAAACAGCTCGCCCCATCGAAACCCACAAAGTCAGGGGCAAGCAACATTCCGGAAAGCCCGCTCCTTGCGAGGCAATACCCACACCCAACCGCGATTGGTGTCAAACGCCAGCTGCATTGCTCTTTTCGCACCGCTTGCCTTCGGCAAAGCAGCACATCCATCCACTCGTGTCCATCCCAGTCAAACCTGGTATCTGACAGCCCGGTTTGTGGGGGAGCCGGGCTCAAAACTGGGCCACATGTTTTCGGAGACCCGGGGCCGTGGCCGGCGAAGAACGAAGCACGAGGCGCAAGAAAGCCCCTTAAGGCCTCTCGCAGACATAAAGATTGCCGACCACAGGCACTGTGAGACTTTCGGCTGGCCTTTTGCCAACCAAAGTGTGACCACCAACAAAGGAACACAGGCACCAGAAGCCCGATGCAGGAGCCCACCTGCTCTCAGGCCCCCATCTGACCATTTCCAGGCGCTCTTTGGATGGGAGCCCAAGGGTCAAACTCCACAAAAGCTGGAGTTGACCAACTGACGCAAAGTCAGTAAACATGCTGAGAAAATGATAGTGCTTGTTGTACCAGCTGGTTCGTTGCTCACGCCCCGCGCTCTCCCCGCAGTCTTGTAATTCAACGCGGCAGTTGCAGGTCGCGGGCTCAGGCCAAATTCATGAAATCACTACACGGTCGGGAGGCCCGGGAGCTTGCCTTTGACCCCTGCTTTCGTCGTTCTTGAAGATCAGGTTTTGGCCGGCTTAGCGGATTGCCTTTTATGAAGCGGGTTCAAGCTACAAACGTGAGGTGTTCCCTCATGATCCCTCCCCTCCCGCGGATGTGCAACTTCTGGCTGGTTAGAACTTGCCTTCTTTGCTCGCTGCTCCATGGCCCCCCCTTTGCAAGCAAAGGGTCAAGCTCCGCAGCACTCAAGCCGATAGCGATGGGGGAACGGCAGGCCCACACGGAAGAAACTAGCAAAGCCAACTATTTGGATCCCCGACTCGACACTTTGTCCATCTGTCGATTCGTTAAAACTGAAAGTCTCAATTGGGAGCTCTATTCCAGAAAAGTGTGTTTGGGTCCGCCTTAAGCAACTGGGGCAAGGTCTGGTCGGCAGGTCGTCCGCTTCTTTCGCAGGAAAAGGCGCCGGCTGAGGATGGGAACTGCCGCCACCCTACTCCAGAAACAAAAGAGCCTGACTTAATCAAAGAAGCGTTTAGGGGTCACACCCCCATTCTATGCGTTTGGGCTAAATGCGATTGCTAAGTCAAAGGGGGGTCCAAAATAATGCCTACCAAGAAAACTCCTCTGAAAAGTTGGCAGCCGCTTGGCGGAAGCTGTCTGGCTGCATATGAATCCAGGGTTCCCATCGTGCATCCGAGCCCACCACAGCACCAACGGAAGATAGGCCTTGCCTTTCGATGCCAGTTCTGACCTGGTGCATCGGCGGTTTCGCTTCAAACCCATCCCTCTGGGTTCTTTGGCCTGGACCTCTTGGCAAACTTGATCAATACTGTTTCTGCGACTGGTGGCAGCTGCGTCAATTAAGCCAACCGAAGAACCTCACAGCCCCCAAAGCTCATGCTTTTGCTAATGCAGCCTGGACACCCTGACAGCCGACCCCATTGGGGCAAAAACACGACAACAAAGAAGCGGTGCAAACAGGAGCTTCATATTTACCCGCACTTTGGCCAGCGCACCAGTTGATCCTCCACCCTCAAATGTCTTTGCAAACGCGGCTCATGCTGCACTGCTGGGAGGTGTTCCAAGCCGCGAAAAGCGAGCAACAAGAAATGGAACGTAGGAGTCTGGAATATACACCTGGTGGGTTCGCAAAGCCAGGGCCATCGTCTTCAGCGGGCTCTGGTCGGAACCCTTCGAAGCTTGGCTCAAGAGGCCCGGCTCTGCGCGCGCCCGGGGGCCCGTCATCTCACTGCCCCGGGCTCAGGAAGCAAGCCCTCCGCATCTGGCCCGGGAATGCGGTGACAGCCGTGCCAATGTGCAAATTTCCCCAGAAGAAAACTCCAGTTTGCAGCAGTCCATGGGGTACTGTGGACGGACGAAACCATGACAAACCATTGATGGTTGGTATTTACAGGGGGGTCAACATTCCATGGTTTCTTAGATGGTGCAGGATTTCGCCCATCCAAAGTAGTTCTTTGTTTTGTGTTTGTTTTCTTCTCGGCACACTCACGCTGGTCGGGCTCACTCCAGCTGCGCTTCATGCAAGAGTGCCGCATTGAGTTAGTTTTGGCATCCCATTCCAAATGGGAGAATGTGGCAAGAAAACTGAGTCGTCTTTGGCCTTGCTACTAAAACTGCACAGAACCAAAGAGCAAATCATTTTCACATATGCTAAACAAAGTCCCTCACAAAATACACAGAGCATCTGGGGTGTCTCAAAATAACCGTCTTTCCAGAAAATGGGTGTTCTTGATATCGAACAGGCCGCCCCAGGAAAGCAATCACCAGCAAATGACGTGGCGAAAGCATTGGATGTTCAACCCTTGGTAGGAATGAGGCACCAGCGGTTGGTGGACAAACTCGAAACGTGTCACAACCTGCTTGCTAAAGGTGGACACAGCATCAAAACAAGGTACGCAACCACTGTCTGGCTGTCCACTATATCAAGGTGCTGTACCCCATTGGTGTGTGTGTGTGTGTGTTGAAACTTTAAAACGGGAAGTTTCCCCTTTAGTGACTGAGAAGAAGAAAAAGCAGAAGGAAAAAAAGACCCCAAAAAAAAAAACACCACAAACGTCTAGAATATAATCATATATACATATGTATCTATATATACATATTTGCATGCAATCGTAATTACACACACACACACACCAATGTGTCGCCCCTCTTACCGCCTGGAATATGTCCTCGTCCCGGCACAGCGGCGCCGCCGCCGCGCGGCGCCGCACCGAGCTGAGGCTCGATGCGGAGCTGGGCCGCGAATGCGCGCCGACCGCGGTCGTTCTGACCGGCGCGCCTCGTCCGAGCATTCGGCACCGGAGGTTTCCTGAAAGACAAATGGGGGGGCAGGCGGACGTGGCATCTTGATGTTCAAAAGCCAGGGGATGACATGACCGAGCGAAGGGCTGAAACGCATTCACGAGTTGATCTTTGTCATGCTTTTCCTTGGCCGGCTGGAAGGACCCTCAGCAAAGCCCACTGAAAACATTGTGACGATGGCGTTGGTTTGCGATGAATCCACTTGGTGTTTCTTCCGTTCATGCTTGCACCGGAGCAGTCCTTTGCAGTTCTTTGGGGCTCACACTGCAACTGTTCCAACGGATCCTGGCCAGTCTGACCTGGAACTGAAAAAACCTAGTCAATCATGGTTCATTGGCCCCTTGCTGTACCTCGTGGCAGGCCAGGATTCTATCACTTGCCTAGTTGGCTCGGCATGGAGCTACGGACTTCCAAGCTGGAAACATCCAGCCCCAGCCCTTCAAGCAATGTCAATGACAACGGGTTGCCGGAGGCAAACAAGGGACAAGGGGGAAGCGGAGCCATGGGTGGGGCAACGCTGTGGCCTCTGGATATTGAGTTTCGCCTTACCTGCCCTCGCGGTACCACATTCTCGCGAACCTTGATGACAACACTCTCCAACCCCCACGAACATGCAAACATCCGAGCAAACAGCCGGAATTTCGAGAAGCGAATATGACACAAACATAGGGAACAAAGGACTATCCCATGGTGAGAAGACACACATGCCACAATATGAAAAGCACGTTCACGCAAAGGTATCCGCGCCAAAAAACACGACAAAACACAAATAGAAGGAAGCTCTTGAAAACAGCCATTGGGCTTGCGCCCTGCCTGGGCTCCTGCCGCATGCCGGCGCTGACTGGCAACGCCGCCTAGCACCAAAACACGTGAAGATAAACGCGCTGAGCGGGAAACAGTGCGGAAAGCCGAGCCAACAAACCAACCAAGCAACCAACAAACCAAACAATTGCATATATCGGACAAAAACCAGCCATTCCTGCAAGTTGTTCTTTGGAGGGTCGCCAGCTGGCACTATAAACAAAAGCACCTCTGCCGGTCGGGAAGCATGATGGTGCCGAAACCAGGAAACATTTGCGCACCTTGTTGCGTCTCCCAAGCGGCGAAACAGGTTGGCAACTAGGTCTGCCAACTACGGTCCGGGCACTGGACAAGCACAGTTAGGGGGTGGCGTGGGCCGGCAGGAAAGGAGGGGCCGGGGAATCAGGAGCCGTCACCGTAGACGGGTGACAAGGGGCGGCGGGCAAGCCGAGTCTGCCAGAAGCTCGCTCAGGTCAGGCCCAGCCTTTGCACAATCAGCGCGCTAATGACTTTAGCTGCATCATAATGACTTTGCAAGAATCTTGATGACACCAACGAACACCTATTCTACAAATAAACACGGGCGGCGCCTCAATGAATTCAGCGGCGTCATGATGATGCATCATTACGCGCCACATCTTTGTATTTTGTGCGACAAGATCGGCGGGTGACCGAAGACCCCCTTTGCCCTCACCCCAGCGCACGTCCGTCACGACTTCCCAGAAAGGCGTCGGCAGCCTCGAAGCCTCGCAAGCGGCCCGACAAGGGGCTGCGCTCGAGCGCGAGCGCACAAAGGCGTCCGCCTGTGTGCCCCGAGGGCCCCCGAACGCTAGACCGCGCGTCGCGCAGTTCAGGATACACGCGCTCGCGCGTGCTGCGGCGCGGGTGTGGCCAGGGAGTGGGGACGCGGCCGTTACGCCACGTAGAATAACGGTGGTGGCGTCAACCGCAGATCTTCGCGCACAGGCAACCTCGTGTTGCGCCCGCCGTGCGCGGGGGCAACCAGGTTCATCTGAGACTGGCGGACGCTCTGCGAGACGTGCTCCGAGGGCGCCGCGCGAACGCAGAGCTCCGGACAACAAGGGGAACGGATCCCTTGATCTGCCTTTCGAGGCGCTCTGCCGCAGCCGCTGCCTTAAGCAGCTGTGGCCATCTGGGCTGACGCAAGATGGCATACAGGAGAATCGAGCGTGGAGGGCTTGCAGCGACACGGGCAGAGACAGGTCAACCCCAGATCGGGACAAGGACCTTGGTGGGCTCAGCACCGGCAGCGTTCCACGCCTTGGCCTTGCCAAATTGATTTCGATGCCGGCGCGCCGGCGCTCTCAAGCTCACAAACAACGCGCGAAGACCGCCTCTCCCTCCTGCAGGCGGCGCATGTTGCGCAGAGCGGCATGCCAAGCATGCGCAGGCCCAGCGTGCGCTGACACCCTTGCTCGTCGCTTGCGCAAAACTGAAATACCAGCGGCATGCTGCTTTTTTTTCAGCATCATGATAACAGCGTAGTAATCGTGCGACGCGAAAGAATCACCCGGATGCCGCCCGCCTGCAACAGCAGAGCGGGGGACGAGTTGCGTCTTGAACAGGACTCACGCGCTGAATCGTCGCTTCCGGCCATCTCGTCGGAAGCGCTGGCTGAGGCTGGCCGGCAGGCAGAGCGCGCTCTCCTGCTTGAAGTGGGGTCTTCGCCAAGCCGCATGCTCTTGGGCGGCCAGGGTCGGTGGCCCTCGCAATGGCAAGCAACACCGCGCGCTCGGAGGTGAATGTGAAGCACAAAAGGGGCGTCCAGCTACGAACCGGGGTCGCGCTCTGGATGGGTGACGACATACAGTTCGCCCAAACAAAGGGTCAGCAAGAAGAGGGCGTCCTTTTTTGGGGCTTGCCCAGCGTCAGGCTGCGCCTCAAGCCCCAACGAACCCTGCTGGAAGAACAGGTTGATTTCTGCGCCCTGCGGCGCCTGCAGCTGCCGCCGCCGGGCAAGGTTAGTGGGCGCGTCATTGCCAGGTGCCACAACACGCGCCGCACGCCGTTCTGGGAACCCGCATCAGCAGGGGGCGCGTCATCGCCGCTGCCTTGCACCACCTCAAGAAGATGCGTCAATTTGCCCGATGAAAAGGCCTGTGAGCCTCTGAAGCAGCTCGCGACAGCTGACCAACATTCTTGCCACGAGCAAGAATTGTCCAGGCTGCGCCTGTTGTTTCGCGTGTACGAAGGAAGGGCGCCACGACCTGCATTGTCGGCACCAACTCCGCAGCGAAGCGAACGGTATCCAAAGCAGCCCACGCTGCCGGCACGGCCGGAGCTGGCCCACTCACGTTTGCAGCGTCATCGGCATCGTCGCTGTCCGCGGCCGCCGTTGCGTCCACCTGGGTCGTTCGCCGACGGCGCTGCAGACGAGAGGCGGGGCCTGCGGTGGCCTCGCAGCCGTCCGCAGGGTTGGCCGCCTGCTGGGGCACCCGGCGCGGCAACATCTACTTCTGCGTGCTGGAAACTGCCCGCCTGCCGCATCACTGTCAAAGCGGCAGCTCGGCCAATGCTTCCCGCTGGGCGGGAGGAAAGTACACAGACGTATTTTGCGGCCGCTGATACGGCAACTTGGGGTGTCACAGCGTTCAGTGAGCGAAGGGCCTCGACACGTAAATGCTGGATGCAGAACCTGGAGATCACCGAAAGGGTGATTGATGATCAGTGAAGAAGATGCGGAGCGAGGGAGGAGAGGTGAACACGCTCATCTACACCGATCGCGGCAGGGCATGCGGCAGCATTCCAACTGCTTGAGGATGTCTCCTCCGGAGGCGTCGCCAGGCGTCGCCAGCATCGCGCGCCAAAGCGTAAAAAGTGTTACTATCAATTTCTCCCTAACCCCTCCCAAGTCTGGCGTCCCCAACTGGGGAACCCACCCACCAGGCATCCCACAGTGCCAGGCGACTTTTCTTGACCCACCAGACAGACCTACGTCGAGCTTCCCCACCCCCCACCCCCACCCCCACAATTTTCAACATGTTCTTTTCCTGATGTAATCCATTGCTCGTCTGCTTGACTTCATGCAGAGAACACTTGCTCTAACTTGTGAACTCATTGTTTGTATATGTGTTTGGTGGGTTTCAAACTTGTCAATGGGTGTTTGTTTTCAGTTCGCCCACTGCATGGCCTTGAGGTGGCAGACTGGCGGTGTGGGAAGACTGTGCACCTTGCCCAGGCCACATGTCCATCCTACAAAGCCAGCTGATGTCCTAGGTGTGACCCGAAGGATAAAGCCGGCCCATACTCTGCACATCTGCAATTTGATCCGTGCTGCAGCATGCACATGTGAATGAGAGTACGTATGTCTTTGTCAAGGGACCCCCCAAACTCATGGATTTCCTTGCGGTGTCCATTTCAAAGCACCAAAAAAAAGAAGAAGAAAAAGAAGAAGAAAAAACACACAAAAGGTACCCTCAAAAGCAAAGAAGCACCCAACTGAACACAGAAACCAAGCCACAAAGCCACGCCTCTGTGCTTGCTCCGTCTCTGGCGAGGGCTTGACCACGGCAACCTTCTCCCCCGCCGTGGCGGGCCGCGAAACCGGCGGCACCGGTGGGACCGAGGGGGCCCTGGCCAAGAGCCACTTCGGCTCCAAAGCACATGACCCCCAACATGTGGCCCTGTGGACTTTCCCCAAAATGGATTGCCCCAAAATGGATTACCCTGGCTTACCTGGCTCCAACATGGATTACCCTGGCTTATCCCCCCCTGGCTTACCCCAAGTTGGATTCTCTCTCTCTCTCTCTCGCTCTCTGCCGCAGCATCGGCAAGCCGTCACCAGAGGATGCCAAGATTGGTGGAATTTGGATTTGAACGCCTCATTCTTGTAAGGGGAAACCAGCCGCTAACTACCAAACCACGAATTAGAGGGAACCTAATCTGCTTCTGCAATTCTAAAGCAGGGACAAGGTGAAAAGGGGCCAAGGAAAACAAACCGCCTGTTCTACAGAGTCGAACCATGCAAGCTCGCATTCAGTACCCTAATTTACTAATGGTTGTGTCCCAGCGTCACTCGAGGACTGCATGGACACTCGTTTGGGACCCGCGTGGGAGACCCCAAAGTTTCAATAAATCCAAGATGGCAGGGTGTAGACCTAGGCCCGCGCTGGCCGGAATATGCCTAACAAACATCCCAAACAGCTTCGGCCAAAGCTTCCTCAGAGAATCGGCACCCGCAACACGGAAGCACAAACCACCAGAAGGAACACAGTGCTAAAGGCCGGCCCTTTTTGCGCTACTAGAGACTCAGACCGGCTCAGCTTGCAACTGAAGCAACCCAGGTCGCACAGTCGCAGGCAAACGAACAACTAGCACAACCCAGCGCCAAGCAGAGCTGGGTGACCCAAGATGCCGAACCACTGGTGGGGTGTCGAGGCCAAGGCCAAAGCCCCTTCCGCTAATTTCCAAAGAGAAGGTCAGCAACACCAGTGCCAAGTCCCTGGACCGAGCCTGGTGCTGCATACGCTGGCGCTGCGCGAGCACGCCGAGCTGGGCCGCTCCAGCTTGGGCCTGGCGAGCAATCCTCGCATACTCAAATGCCGGGAGGCTACTCAAGGTACACTCCCCACCATGGCAATTGACAGGGACCCGGTCCCTCCAAAAGGAAACTAATCCGGGCACCTCCCAGGTGCCATGTTGGTTGGAAGGGTACAAACTCAGACCGGCACACCCACAAACCCAAGAACAGTGAGTTGGGCAAATTGTTGCAACACGCACCTGTCTGCCCACCCACGAGGACTCCATCCGGCAAAATTAGAGAACGCCATGCCCAAAGGCCTCGCTGGATCCTTGAAAGCCGTTTTGTAGGAAGTAGACGGCCTAGGCCAGCAGAACTTGCACTTCCCGAGAACTTTTCTCACTTGCTCCCCGTCACAGCCAGAACTGCACCTGCGTAAGCGGACTTCGGAATCACGTCACCATGACATTTGCACAAATCGAACTGCGACACGCAACCCCATCTTCCTGCTTCCAGCAGCTGCTCCCAAACACGCACCACCTCATTTCTGGTTGCAGCTCGGAACCCTTCCCAAAATACCTCTAAAAACCCGTGAGGCATGAGACCCCGAAACAAAACTGCCCCAGAAATCATCCTCCAACCTGGCTTCTGGATCGCACGAAATTCGTTCAAAACATCGGACTTCAAGGTATCCCAGGTGGCACACGTTCATCCAAGCGAACCGCCACAAAGCCACATGAAAAGCCAAACTCTGACCAACCAGGACCGACATCTGTTCATTCAAGCAGCGGGTGGGCACGACGCGCCAGGAAGAGGTTGGGCCTGTCCGTGAGGCCCACGGAGTGAGGCCCACGGAATCAACTTCAAACCCAAATGATTTCTGTATCTCAATTGCTTCACAGATTCACTGCCAGTGTCTAGCATCTGGCTCTAATTTTACGTGCGCCGTTCTGCGAAGGAATATGTCATAAAACATGAGAATGCCCCGGCTCTGAGGCTGCTCCCGAAACCTTCGGGGCATGCTTTGAGCGAAGCGGACAGCTTCGTTTGACTCCACAAATCACCAACCACCTCCGGCTAGTTGAAAGTGTCAGGCAAAACCTGCCGCGCTGTCAACGCCAGGGACCTCATTTTGGCAGAACAACACTGCAACAACCCACCCACCAAGCTCCCATCTGCACCCGCCCCTCCTCGGCGGCTTCGCCGGCTCGCTGGCCCACCTGGATGTGTTTTTTCCACATCTCCCGGGACATGCTGTGAAGAGGCTTGGCGTTCTCGTGAAACGGCGCCTTGATCCCTCAAACTCTGCTATTCCAAAAGAAAACCGCTCCCTTCCAGCGGGAAAAAAGGGCCAAGCCAAACCCCAAGGCGAGAAAGCACCAAAGAAAGAAGCCAATCTCTCGCTTCTGCCTCACCGGCAGCCCAAAGACTTCGTGGGTCACAGACCTGGCGCTTTGGAAACCGGCACGTCGGCGGTGTTTGCATGCTCTGCCGGCGTGAAACTTAGTGAAATCGGATCTCGCGAGAGTTTCGGAGATCATGCTTGATTCCCGACCTTGTTTCAAAAGCTAAAACGCTCGGCTTCCAGGAGCAAGGCAACTCAGCAAGTGCCAAGCTCCGAAAGCGGCCTCAAAAATCGCTTAAAAGCCAGATGGAAACTCGCCCTTAAGTCTCTGTTCACACCTGCCCAAACCAGCTCCGCAGTGCCTCTTCTCCAGAAGGTTGCCAGTAGGCAAGGTGTGGCTGACACCAGCCTGCCACGTCATCAAAGGCACCACCAAATCCGCTTCCAGAACCGTGCATTCTAGCATGGGCGGAATGCAGCAGCGAACCCATCTTGCAGAAATCTTACGCAAATACATGGCCAAAGGCCATCTAGAAAAAGAATCAGCAACTCAAAAAGCAGAAACAAAAAAATGGGCACGAAGCCCCGAAAAGGCGTTCGACGTCAAAAGAACCATGGGACACGAAACCGTAGCTCTGGCCTTTGGCTTGGCGCTCTTCTGGCGCGCGCGGGACGCCTGCATGCGGAACCTCCGTCTGAACTCCTAAAGCAGGCATTTCTCGTTGATTGCCCCAAGGTGATCTTTAGAAAAAAGACTGCTCATCTCTGGCTCAGATTTGCACTCAAACAAGCCAGCTGTGGCTTGGAAGCGGCTCTGACGAACGCGTCGCTCGATCCGTTGAAGGGCTGCCGATCTTCGGCTTGCGTATCGGCGGCAAAAGCAGGGCCTCCTTGCGCGACCAGGCATGAAAGGCCTCCTGCGGTCAGACGCTCGCGTTGGGCCTCTGAAGGGGCAACCGCCAAATATCACAGGATTTCCCCCGTATGCCCTTAAAACGGCATAGCTCTCCCAACTAGAAATTCTTAGAGGTCCGCAACTTGCCAAGTCGTCAGCCCTCCATGCGCAGCCAGAAAGCAGCTGTCGGCCTTGTTTGCAGTGGTTTCCTCCAACTTGGCCGCAGAAGTACCTGGAAAGAAGGCGGAAGGCGGAAGGAGAACACTATCTATCAACAATCAAAACAAGAAGTGGATCGACAATAGCCACACTTCCCCAGAAGCCCTTTGGAAGTCCAAACTGGCACAAGCAATATCAAACGGAAATAGGGCCGTACTCTCAGCCAAAAACCTGCCCCGCACGGGCTGGAGCCCCTGACCTCCTAACCGTGCTGGGGGCAAGGCTGCCGAAGCCTGGATTGCTTCGGAACTTGTTCTCCTGCGATCCACGAAACAGCGCTCGGACCTGGTGACCTACGTGCGCTTCCCTCCAGTGTTGCAGGTGCAAAAACCATTTCTAAGCCTAAGGCCACAAGGCCAACTACGTGCAGCTTCCCCGGAGCACGGACAGGCGGAACGCCTGCTGTGAGAAACATGCTTGGTGGACACACAAACAGCTGTCAGTGCCTTTTGGAATTGACGCGGCCAAGAAACATAAACGAGCGATGGATTTGGTTTGGGATTGAATTTAACCTCTGTCAGAGCCAAGATGGCTTGTGAATAGATAGCGTCCTTCGCCAAGGCCCTGGTAACCGGGGCATCATCCAAGGGTAGCACCTGATATGCGCAAATTGTATGCAAAGGTAAGGGATCCCCTGATCCCGGCTGTGTTCTCCAAGTTGGTGGCACTTGGGTGCATGGATTTCAGGACTGACTGTAGTGGTGCAAAAAGCAGCAGCTTTCATGCAGTGAAGTCTGGGGTTCGCAGTTCGCAATGGAACCGAGCGTTGGCCCATCCTCATCCATAATCCCTGTGGAAGGCCCAAAAGGGGACCCTTGCGTAGGCGTACCCCAAGGTAAGGATAAAGGATTGCCTTTGAACAGCCAAGACTACATTTGCCACAAAGTCAGTGCCCCCAGTCGAGGATACGCAAAAGAACAAACCCACTTCAGCGAAGCCTCGCTCCAGCCACGACTCCAAGCGCCCAGCCACATAGTCCGTGGCATAGCTCACGGAAGAGCGGTCCAGCAGCGGTGCCCTGTGACTTGCGGGCTGAAGGGAAAGCCCACAAACCCCGCACAACCGGCTCAGTCTCAAATTCGGCGGATGAGAATGATGCAATGGCCGCCAGCAGCCAACCAAAATAGAAAATCTCCAAATTAATCAAGACTAGTAGCAAAATGATCTCCAACACAACTCGAGCAGGCAAGCTAAACAACAAGAAGCCGCCGATGCAAAACTCCTCCCCTCGCCCTGCCTCTTCTTCTGATACTTGAGGTACTTCCCACTGCGCTGGCCGATCCCATGCCTGAAACACTTGCACAAGGGGAAGGGGGATTTGCGTGAGTTTTATCCAGCAATCTGGCTAATTTTCCCGGAGCTCCCAATAGCCAGCGTGCCTGGGTAAACAGTGCCGTGATGGGCCTGTGCCTCTTTCGCCACTCGTTTGTGTTTCAAGTTCATGGCTTGCTTTGGTCCCACCGATGGGCAATGTCTTTGCCCAAGCTGCATTTCCCCACTGCAAGTCAGACTTGCAAAGCAAAAATGTGCAAATAACAACATGCGCCCTGGTGTCCTTTTCTGACTTCTGGGCAGGGTTTCGCATTCCCCTCAGGCACTGGCACGTCGATGAAGTTCTCACGCTTCCCCTCACGCGCCCCAAATTGGTGCTGAAAACAGAGGTGAAAAAGTGTCCTGCAGAATGGCGCAGTTTGCAGGACTTTTGCAAAGCCAACCGAACTGTTCACGGAACTTCCTGCAAGAAGCAGTGAGACCATGCTGTGCCTTGCGGCTGTAGTTCCAGTAGGAGATAGGCTCACCCAAGAATTTCCAAGCGATCAAAGCCTCCGTGTCTGGAACAAATCATGCAGAATTCCTTGTTTCTTCTCTACACAAGTGGTTAGGGCCACAGCGCCAACGCAAGCTCGATTGATTCGGACAACTGTCAAGCAATTGTAGCACAAGGGGCTTTGGGGAGCGCAAATCTGCATCTGCCCGACCACGTCAATTGTTGAGGCAGCAAAGATCCTCCAATTCCAAGTCGCCCAGCTGACGAAAGACTTTCGGGCCTTTGTTGGCACATACCATTAGGGAGCATCATTGGCTGTTTCAATCAGGGTCGGTTCAACAGGTATGATCCTGCAAAACTCCTGAAATGCCTATGAAATTTATTGGAACTCCATCGAATTTCGACGAAATTCCGTTACAAATGTCAGTCTCACACAGATGACCTGGACCACCAACAGGCAGCAGCTCAATTGTCCCACTCAATCTGCTGTATGAATGTATGTATGTATGTACGTATGTATGTATGCATGCACGCACGCATGCATGCATGCATGCATGCATGCATGCATGCATGCATGCATGCATGCATGCATGTACGTACGTGTGTATGTTCCAGCTACATTCCAGAGCAACTCTATATACCTTGGAGTTATTGGATTCTCACTGAATCTCCACTGGAATGTCATTGGAATTTGGTTGGAATTCACTTGGAGATGCCAATGAAAATAAAATGGAGAAAGAAAAAAAAAAGTCCAACTGTTTGGCCCTTCAGGCAAGAAGAATCCAATTCCACGTTTCTAATGTCACTGCAAAGGAAAACCTAGCTCTGGCCTTCCCTCCCACCAAGGACAACTTCCAGTGACATTCCTTTCCAGTGCTGCTTCCATGGCTTTCCAGTGCTTCTCCAATGGAAAATCAATGAATCTCCTCCAAGCAAAATGGCTGGAATTTCACCAGAGTCTTGCCTCCAAAAAATCAAAGAGGCCCCATCGGAAGTAACCCATGACACACCCTGATAAACATGGGCCTGTTTTCATTCTGAAGCGCTTGTTGAGCCCTCCTGCCCACGTCACCCATGTTGCTTATTTAAAAAGCTTCGGAGGGCAGCCCCTCCTCTTTTGGGGATGCGCGGAGAGAAAAGAGAAAAAAAGAATGCGGGGGAAAAAGAAGAAGAAAAAAAAACGGCCCGGCCTCGGCCAAATCACAGGGCAGAAAGGTTGTGCCTGTGGTGGTCGTGAAATAGAGCTGCCTCACCTGACCATCGGGAATTCGACTTCCCGGATTCCCGGGCCCGGCGTGTAGAGAAGTGTAGACCCCCTCCTGAGGCCCCTGAAAAAACAGAAAAAATTGGCTGTTCTTGGATGTGCTTGCGCGCGCCGCATAACCAAGTTTCTTGTACAGTCAGCTTGCGTTGCCGGTCGTCAAGCTGCGCAAGTGAGCCAAAAAAAAAAGAGTTCTGTACACGAATTTTCTGCTCCAAGGGGGTGAAAAACAAGTGGCAGTTTCTCATGGCATGCGAACCTACATGCAGACAATGGTGTTGACGTATCCTTGCGTTCGCATTTGCAATTCTGATCTTCCACATTCACAAAGTTCGAGCTAAGTTGAGAATGCCCTCCCAAACGGCTCTGCATCCAAAGCGACTTGCAGGAAGCAAAATCGGCTTGGCGACTGCCTGTCGCTGGTTGATTAATCATCTGACTGGATGCACCGCGCCTGGTCCAAGTCGGCACCGCTGAAGGCTTGCGCACACGGAGCTAGCAGCCCACTGGCGGTGCGACCACAAACCATCACACAAGTGCGAACTGCTTGTTTCTTGTGGCGCGAAATTACACCGCTTGGTAGAATCTGTTTCCGATTGTGGCTCAACAGCCTGCCCCGATGCAACTGGCACGACAAGCATGGATCAAGCCCCGTGCCACCACTGTTTGTTCCCAGAAAGCCACCCAGCCCAGGCCCAGCCTTGATTCTGGTGGCTTTGGCATAGCCTGCGCCGACCCAATTAAGGACTATATTGACCAAGCCGACAAGCTCGAGCAATATGCTAGAAAAAGCATGGACATTCCCGGCCTGGACTTTTGCTGGCGTTGTCCCAGCACAGCTTCACTGACACACAATTGTGCATGTAACTGTGCCAACGCCAGTCAAATTGCAACGATAGCGAAAACCACTGAACGAGAACGTGGTTTCCATGTGTTTCCTGCTCTTCTGCATTGGCCGCCGCATTTGTGCCTCCAACTCGCTACGTTTAACGTTTACTGACGTGTTTGGTTAACCTTGCCGGCCCTCATCATCTGAGCCAAGCTGCGTTGCGTGCGGCGTGTCCTCAACCCGACAAAGGGTGACTAGCCCCACAAATGCCCTGGCCACGTCTGCATTTGTTTGTTTTTTTTGTGTTTTGCTGCGCGCCTAAATCCGCTGCATCATGTCTCTCCCCCCGAAACCCTGCTTAAGGAGCCCGGGCACTGGGCTGCAGGCCTTTTGTATACCGACGGCCCCCGGCCAAGCACATCCCCATGCAACACACCTGGCACGGCGGGGGGTGAGACCCACTGCCGGGGGTACCGTATCCCCGAAGGGAGCAGGTACCTTGTGGTAGTAGAGAATATGTGTTTCGGTCCCTGGATCTATTCTGCAAGAGAGTCCAAAATGCAAATAGTGGAGGAACTGAGAATGGAAGCCCTGGTCCTGATAATGTGTGATATATCCCTGCAAGGCGCTCTGCTAGGTCCTTTTGCAGTGGCTGCAGGATGAATGCAACTATTGTACAAGATAGGCCTTGAGCCAAAATATTAGTGGTGATTGCAGGGTCAACTTGCGAAGCAAAAGCAACACAAAAACAGACACAATTTCTTTTGACCCTGAACACCAAAATTGCATTCTTGGCTTCATGGCCTTTAGCCGTAGCCATGGATATGGTGTGCTTGCCGTAGCCGTATCGAAATTTAAATCATCCTATGTCTGTCGCAGATGAACTGTCTTGTTGGCAAAATGGAAAATGCTGTGTGCTGGTTGGACGAGATACCTAACTGTATCTAAAACGGAAATGTGAGAAACACTTTGTACACTGGCAGGCATAGTCTTGATGTGCAGGAGGATCAATTGGTTGGAATTCGTGGTGCGGTTTTCCGTGTGAATGCTCTCGGCGTGGATTGGAGTCAGAATATCTCATCGCTTTTGTGAGTACCAACGGTAGCTGCTATCGGATTGACTTGCATAACCTCCGCCATACTCCTCTCATCCTTGGTAGCCAGAGTTCTTCCATCCTTGCTGATAGGATTGGTCCCATGGCTGCCATGCGGTCTCTTTCTCCTTCTTCTTGTTCTGGAGATACTCCTTCTTGCGGTGGAGATTTGTTTCTTGCGAGGCTGCGAACATAGACCAGCAATGGAGTGTGAGAGTCGGAGTCGCATGGTCCAAGCATTAGCATCTCATTGTTGATGCGCTTGTAGCGCTCGGCGGATGTGACCTTGTAATCGGAGATGACCTTGTCAACATCTTCTATCATGGAATCCATCGTATCTTGGTCGAGCTTAGCAATCTCGGATTGACGGAATTCTTGTTGGATGTCAGTCTTTCCCCAACTGAAAACGAAGGTCATCATGCAATCCGGAAACGTCCTGTCAAATCCTGAACCTTCCTTCATACAAAGATGGTGGCGAGCAATGGATGTTATCGTGCATGAAGTCGACATGGTGAAATCCATTCTTTCCGCCAACGGCATGTCTTGCGTTTCATTCCAAAGGTTCTTATACTTCTCCATGATGTAGTTCATGAAGCCCTTTTCAGGATTGTAAGCAGATTGCAGCTTGCTGTCGCACTGGTACGAGCGGCACGATACCTTTCTGTACGTCTTCTTTTGCTGCACCATGGCTGATGTTTGGATGGATATGGAACACTCCAACGGTGGCAAATGGAAGATCAGCTCTGGTAACATGGCGGGTGTCGTAGGATAGAACAGGATCCTGAGTGGATTTTGGAAGCGCTCCACGGATCTCATTATTCTGCTCGATGTGGATGACGACAATCTCACTGTTCTTGCCATGCCATTGAACGGTTGTGCGCGGTGGCAATCTCTGTCCAACATACTTCTCCTTGTTGAGGAACATGGATGTTCTAGTGGATGCCAGGCAGTCGGATGTGGGAGTATCGTAGTCCGGGTCAGTGCAACCTTCCTCGAGTCCGAAAAAGCATCTGAACATTCCGAACATAGTACTCCAGGATTGGCTCTTTGTTGATATGTAACGTGCCAACAGTTCGACTCTGGCGTGTTTTCCACCTCGGACAAAGCATGCGATGGACTTGGATGACCATAGCTTGGGTACGATGCTTTTATGAACAGCTTGATGAGATCGAGGGTCTTATCTTCTTCTGGGTAGAGGAACGCGTCTGCCTCGTTGATGCAGAGGATATGTGCACTGTTCTGCATCATCTGCATGATGAGCGGTCGGTGCTTGATTGACCATGACTTGAGTTCTCGACTATCCAGCTTTGGATTCCTTGTGAGGTTCCGTGATTCAAGTGAAATGCTGGATGGATAATCTTTTCTCTTGAGGTAGTCGACAACGTGGCCATCAGTTCCTTGCATCAAGGATCCCAGAATGTTCGTGAATGACTTGATGAGCTCGGGATCGTGGTGGTTCTTCAACTTCTTGAGTCCGATTGGAAGTCGCAGCGGGTACCCCGAAAGGTTCTGCGCTGCTCTGAACTCTTCCCTCTTCCATGGTCGGATGTCCACTTGCGTGCTCGAAGTAGAACTCATCGTCCTCGATGTTCTCATCTGGATTCACGTGTGCCAGAGATCTCATTTCGCAATCGGTCAGACCCTTGTGCGCCTTCTTTGGATCCGTGTGGTACCTCTCCATGAACATCGTGAATAGCTGTTTTGCAGCATCGGCCTTGGACATTTCCCGGTCCAAATAGGTGTCCTGAAATTCCTGATTGAATTCAGTCACATTGGCCGGATTGGGAGGTTCCACGATGACCTTGACCTTGACCTTGACGGATCTGCTCTTGCGCTCATGCTTTCCTCATCATGATCTGTCGAATGCCGTCTTTTCTTGGTCTCGCTGGATTGCTCTTGTTCAGGTTGATACTTGTTGCGCTTGTCGTGGGAGATGCCCTTGTCAATGTGCTTGAAGAAGTGCTCGGCAAACTCCAGGATCTTGGATTCACATTGCTCTCGGTCTTCCTTGTCGAGGTTCTTTTTCATGATCCAGTAGCTGCTAAGCAGGACCTGCCCGTCGGTATCGAACGCTGCGACGATGCTGCATGGATCGATGGCGTTCTTTCTTCCGTGGCTCGGATGTTGTACTTGTTGTCTTGTGTGAATGCAAGGATCAACAATGCATCGCGTCCCTTAGGGACATGGGTCAGCGCTGCGTCTGATTCCTGATCATCATAGATGATATCGTCGATGCATGCCATGTGAACGTGTTGTCTTCCCTGAAAGGTGTGAGTTCGTCCTGGCTTGATGCCTTGCTGCCTTGCTGCATGATGTCGATCTGATTTCCATGAGTGGCATGGAACATAAAAGAATGTGACGACCTTCTTCCTGAACGGAACGATCTTCCTGTCCTGCTCAAAGGATTTCGGAGCTGCCGTGCTCTCATCCTCATGGTCTTGATCACGCGGCTTGGATGCATTGGGCAAGTCGTATGATGGCTCTTCCCAGGTGTTCTTCCACAAGGGTCTTCCAATGGCTTCCAGCTCAACATATCGTGAGTGACCACGTTGCATCTCACACACAGCTCCATTTCATCGTCGTTGAAGAATGACTTACCATCAGGCCTGAGTGCATGGAATGCTGCTTGAGATGTGAGGTTGTCAATCCATCGGTCCCGAGATGCTTCCCGTTCCTTGTATGATCCATCAAACTTCGGATTTACGAACGCGATCTCGAATCTGGATTTTCCAAAGGATGGAAGCATAGTCATCAGGAATATGCCTGGTATGGTGCCAAGGAAGTTTCTCGCATGGGTGATCGTACACAATGCCTCATAGAGTTCGCATGATCCATCGACCATCGATGTTGAAGTGGACTGGCCTTCTCAGTTCTCGTCCTTCTCGGGGATTGTGTTGAAGGCATTCGGAAAACAGTGTGCTTATGTTTCAATTTCCAGAGGATGAAGTGGACAATGGGCTTCGCATAGGACTGTCCATTCCGTAATATATACACGGCATTGGTGATAGTCTTGTCCATGTCGATCTGCCCGTTGCGGGATACCGTCGGTATGACCTCAGTGCTGAAACTCTTGTTGATCAGGCACACACACCGTAGATCTTTTCGATGTAGGCCATGTACGCGTTCTCTCCCTGGGTGTCCTCTCCACGAATGGTAGGTTCCCACAGGTCGTTGAATTTGCGCGGCGCACTTGCACTTGCTTGCGCGCGGCCTTGAAATCCAGGCTGGCGCCGATGAAGGCACCTGGCGTGTCTTCCGGTTGGGTGGAAAGGGCCAGGTCTGATGCCATCGGAAAGCTGAGGCGTTCTGGCAGGTAGCATTGCGTGTTGACTTGGCACACTGTGCTGTCTAAGACAAGGCAGACCACGTTCAGTTTTCCTACGGCAAGTTTTTTGGCTTCCTCCAGTGTGAGGCTTGTGGCAACGACCCAATTGTTGGAAATTTCCTTGTCGAGAAGGCTTTGCACGACTGCGGGCTCTTCCTCATTTCGAGCTCGGGCTTGTCCGAGGCGTTTGGTGGCTTTTCCGGCCACTGCATGCTTCGAGGCAAGGCGCTGACGGCACCTGTGGGGACACCGTCTTGCAGGAACTGCAGCAAGGGCACGTCAGGGTCACCCCATGATTGCGCAAGCAGGTGCAGTCGGAATGGCGGGCCTGGCTCTGGGTCAAGGCTGGAAGGCAGGGGAGTTTGTAGAGCGGTGTAGGCAAGGCTGACTGCCTCCAAACTCTCTGTACTGGATAAGGGATAAGGGGCACTCTGGAAGGCCTTGCATGTGCAGTCACTGCAACCACGGTGTCGCAAGTGTACGCAGTGGATGCGATGGCTGTGGCTGAGACCAGTCTGCCGATGAGTGGATACCTGCTCCAGCGCACACCGGTTGTCTGTGTGGCGATAGGCGTGGTGGCCTTGGAATGGGGGCCGGCAAAGGCAGCGCCTGCATGACAGATCCGGTCTTGGCATGCGCCCTGTTCCTACTG